AAAGAGTGTGAGCAGCTTACAGTGCTGGGCCTCTCCCCATGGGAGAAACAGAGAAGAGCATTATGGTACAGTGCTGTTAGTGAAAGGTAAATATTGTGTAGATTATTAGCACATTGTTCGTAGAGTGATCTGAGCCAAATTGAGTTATACAAATATGTACCAGAGCTAAGTATGAATGTGCAATAGCACTAAGCCTTCCAATAATTTATAATCAGTATTAAGCCTTACCTGTTTCTTTCCTACAGGTGTGAATAGTACTTTTTTCCTTTCTATGCAGAAGCCTGTTGTGTATTAATAAAAAAACAAAATGAGGATTTTATTGAAGTATTAAAAAAAAAGAAGCCTAAATTACTTTATTTTATAGACCACCAAAGGGTATGTCCTGTGCCTAAAGTAGAAATCCATACAGTAAAGCATGTATGAACCTAGAATAAATATTGAATGCCATTTGTATTTCCTCCGTACAATTTTGATCTTCCTTTTACAAGCCTAATGATTAAACTCTTGGAAAATGAATCTAATTTGGCTAATTAAGAGATTTACTTGAAAATCCTCTGAAAATTGAAGCTTTGCTTAAAAATTGTATGCTAAAAATCTAATGTGGATGCACTATTTGTTTTGTATTTTTCCCATAAAACAAAAAACCACTAGAAGCTGAAGGGGGCAGGGATGGGGGGAAAAAAGTTGATTAGACTATTGATATGTTTAAGCTTTGTGATATGTTTAAGTTCTTACATGCTTTGCTGGAATGATGCTGTTCTGTATCTCTCGGAACTTGATCCTAGGAACTTCTTACTCAGAGTTTCTGGCCCATCCCCAGGGCTAAGCAGGCTGTCTATTTAAATTTATGGAGATGACTAAATTCTGTTCTGACCAGCACCCTGTGTGACACTGACAATATTCTTCTTGGTGTAGGGTTGCATTGGGATTTAAGCCACCATGGAACTCTGTCCCCAGAATGTTGGTTTTCTTTCTTTTAATTAGCTGTGAACAGAATTACAAGTGTGGATTTCCATAGACATAATAGATATATTTAAACTTAAATATAAGCTGTCAGCTGCTGACAGAGTGGTATAATTATCAGCCCTTTCTTTAAGGACAGGCTTAATAGTAACCACCATTTTTATCTCTAATCACTACAATCAAATTAAACCAAATTAAAATTATTTATGTTTGTTAAACTAAAGCTAACAGCAGTTGCTTGGTTTCTTTTGTGTCCTTTGACAAATATATGAGGTAAACTGGATTGATCCATAGAACATAGATTCCCCTAAAGTTACTTTAATATTTCATTTATGTGTTGTCATGTTGCCAGCTGTAATAGTTCCTCAGTATGGTTTTATTATTTTGCAGATGATATAGTAACAGATCTCTGGGAAGGAGTGAGATTGGCTTCAAAGATCTATTAACTGACCAGAGAAAACACAAAATGGACAATTTCTGAAGATTTTGTTAGAAGGCAAAAATTAACTTTAAAACATAAATTGGACTTCAAGGAGTAAGATATTTTAAAAAGCATCAGAAAATTGGAAATTCCTTGGTTTGGCCAAAAGTCTCAGGAGAATGGATACCATTGAGACAGCAAAGCTTGAAGAACACATGGAAGGTCAGAACAATGAGACCTCAAATGGCTATGCTCGACCTACCCTATCTGTCAGCGAAGAGAGCAAAAACGGCAATAGCAAACCAAAGGGTTTGTCCAATGGATTGCGGAAAAGCACAAAGAAGTATCCAGACTATATTCAGATTTCTATGCCTGCTGAATCTAGGAACAAATTTCCCTTGGAATGGTGGAAAACAGGCATTGCCTTTGTGTATGCTCTCTTCAACTTAATTCTAACGACTGTCATGATCACCGTAGTTCATGAGAGGGTACCTCCCAAGGAGCTCAGCCCTCCCTTGCCTGATAAATTTTTTGATTATATTGATCGCGTGAATTGGGCTTTTTCTGTATCAGAAATAAATGGAATGATACTAGTTGGATTATGGATAATCCAGTGGCTGTTTCTTCGATACAAGTAAGTATGTACATTTTCCTCTGCTGCTGCTTGGTTGGCTTATCCCACTTTTTGTCTCTCGTATTTTACCTGCCCCCTTTCTGCATGAAAGTCCCAGTGATTTCTCAGTTTGAGTACAACCTATAGAATTAGGCCCAAAATATTTAAAGAAAATTTAGAGCTAGATTCTGCGGCTGTGCCTAAGAATAGGGCTGGCAAGAGAAGAATTCAAGGTTTCATATTTTCTGTTTTAGTCTGATATACCTGTATAAATACTCTAGTCTCTACTCTAAATTAGTCAGGGCAAAAATTTAAAACCTCAGTCTCCCACATCTCTGAGTGCCCTTATCACAAATTATTGCCTGAGTCCAGGATGAATTTCCCTTTTGACCAGAAATTCTGTTCTGAACATGAGACATCTTTGCCTCTGAAAGCTTTAGATTTTGCAACCCTGCCCCCGCCCATTAAAACAGCATGTTGTAATGAAGATTGGGGGTGGGGTTCTTAAAAAAAATCAGCAAGATATGGTTACCAGCTTCTGAAGATGAAAATGCACAGTTCATTCATTGGCACTATAATGGATGTTCAAACTATATTTGAGAGAATGATCAGCTTCCTTCCTACAGTTTCTGAAATAGTTTAAAACAAAGTTAATTAGCTTTGGGACTGAAAATGAAAATATCATAAAATAAGTATGAAGCAAAATTTAAATGGTAGATATTCATATACTAAAGCAATAAACAAGGTTTGAACATAGTTACAGTTTATTAGTTGCAGTAGTTTCTTTACCTCTCTCAGCAGCAAACATTTGCTTCTTAATTTCTGTCTTGTCTGACAATCTGCAAAGATCAATTCATATATCAAATACTGTTTGTGTTGCACTTTGTGCAGTTATTCCCAAAGGGTGCGTCTTATGGCACGCTAGTATGCTGCTTAGAGTAATGGAAGTGTTGTGAGATCACCATGTATGAGGTTGTAAATGTTTTTCTCCCCTGCCTGGCACCCTGCACCACCTGCCTCGGCTACTCCAGCAGGGCTTGAGGATGCTCCTCTAGGAACTGTTGCTGCTGCTGCCTTCCTTGTCCCCAGGTAGCCCATGTGATCGCCCTCCCCCCTACTCTTAGCCACACACTGTGGTCAGGTGGAGCCCTACTTTGCAGCCTGGTTTGTCCTGTCCACTCCTCCCATGCTTCTAGGGCCATGGAGGTGCTTGCTGGTGTGTAAGACTCTGCATCCTCAGCAGTGGGAGCCGGGCTGCCCTTGCCCCATGAGATCAGGAGGGGCCAGACAGTGGAAAGAGTTGGAGCAAAGCAGGGTGAGTTCCTGGCCCTGCCGCACTTAAGTGGCATCAGCTAAATCAGTGCTTCTCAACTTTTTTTTAGCCTCAGAAACCCCCTCCATATCTTTCTGGATTTAGATCAGTCTCTGATTTTATTTATTTATTTATTTTTCAGCTGGGTGCTGTGAAATACAGAAAAGCTATAGAGTAGGGCCTTGAGGCTAAAATGGTTGCGAGCCACTGATAGAGAGACTAATCCTTTAATCCAGAAAATAATGTTTGCCCCAGGTATCAAAGGTTTGGGAACCACTGACTTACTGACTGCAGAAGTAGAATGTGGAATGGTAACTTTTTATATGCACTAAAACTGTTTTCACACATGGTTTAGATCACAAATAAAAATAAATTTTCATAGTGTGATGATTAAATGAGGCTTTACCAGGGCTTGATCATATTTTAGACTATCTCCCTCTTCTCACAAGAGACTAATTGTATCCTAAAGTTATCCTTTTTGTTTTTCTCCCTATTTTCAGGTCAATAGTGGGACGCAGGTTCTTTTTTATAATAGGAACATTGTACCTGTACCGTTGTATTACCATGTACGTTACCACCCTACCTGTGCCTGGGATGCATTTTCAATGTGCTCCAAAGGTAAGAAACTTTAGCATTGGTTAAAGTGTTTAAACCAAAGTCTTTAAAGTTAATGTTTTCATCACATACTGTATAATATTCTTCAGGGAAAAGCGCAGATGTGTATTGTAATTATTAGGTCTGTCTTTTTTGTATTTTGAGACGTTTGGCAAGATCTGGTGAGCAGGGAGCATCTTTCTGTAGTGGATGGTATTAGTAAGCACTACAGAGAGGGCTATAGCAAAAGCATTTGCATCGCAACCTCTGTCAAGTAATACCAGTGAATTCTGCTAACACTCCAAACCACAAGCGGTGGCCAGCAGGATAGAATGGTCGAGACCATAGGCGCTAACTTTGTTTTTTGCTGGTGGGTGCTTGCAGATGTAAAAAAAAAAGAGAAAAGCGGTGCTGAGTCCTGTGCACGCCCAGAAGAGGCAGCACATTACTTCAACCTGGCTCTGCAGAGTCTGTAAAGCCTGGGCGCTTTAGTGGGGCTGTTTATCCAATAGCTGATTGAATCAGCCTTAGTTAAAAGTGCCAAAAAGCCCTGCTGAAGCACCTGATCTTTGCAGATACTGCAGACCCCGGTTAAAGAAACACATTGCTGCTTCCAGCAAAGCATAGTTTTTGTTTGTTTTTTTAACATCTTCAAGTGGCTCCATGGGTGTTGAGCACCCGCTGATTTTTTGTTTGTTTGTTTCTTTCTTTCTTTTTTGGGGAGGAGGGTTGGCTTTTTGGTGGGTGCTTGAACCCCAGAGCACCCACAGAGTCTGTGATCGAGTCAAACTGAAGATGTGAGACACCCACTGTATGATCATCCAGCAGCATACAAACATCTGAAGTCATGCAGGAGCTTCCTCCCAAACCCCCAACCTCTCAATGCCACATCCAAAGAGATAAGACTACAGATGTGGAACAAGAGGCTGAAGCAAATGCCTGACAGCAGAAAAATAGACATTTCAGCAGCCGAGTCCTTCCCACCAGGGGCTGGCAAAGGTGGTGATGTCTCAATTGCCTACATACCAGAGTCAGACACTCCAAGGAACTAATGAAGAGATGGGGCTATACCGTTGGTTCAACTGCTTGTGACTGCAGCACAGAGCCTCAATCTCTGCAACATCTTCTGCAGTACCTGCTGCTTGAATACGTGTGTACAATGAAAGACCTCACAGAGTACAATAAACTAGCACAAAAGTATGTAACAAAATGGATAAATGTGGTGTTGAGACATATATATATTTTAACCTCATATCTTCGGAGAAATTTTTATTATCCAAGACCTGTATACAGTAAAAGCTCTGTTATCTGGCATCCTCTGGGAATGGGAGATGCCGGATAACAAAATATGCTGGTTAATGCGCCGCTTCTCCCACTGCATCCAGGGCATTGCTGCCCCTCCTGCAGCGTTGCTGATCCTCCCACGGGCCCTGTGGACCCCATGGGATAGGGAGGCGGGCCCGCACAGCCTGCTATGCCCCTGGGCCGTGGGGGCTCAGAGAAACCGGAAGTGCCACAGTGGGCACTTCCGGTTTCACTTTACCTTACAAGCCGGCATGCCAGTTAATAGAACGTGGCAGCTTGTAATGTGCAGGATAACAGAGCTTTTACTGTAATATGTTTTATTGTAATTTTATCAGCTGACACACAAACCAGCTGTTTGCTGGGCAGGCAGGCACATATATATGAGAGAATGGTAGAAGGCTGCAAGTATGATTATCATGCTTGTTGAACAAGGACCATCTGGGATGTCTAAACTTATTCTGACAGTCCTGGCCAAAGCAAGTTCATTAAAAAATTGAGCAAGTAGTTGTGGAAATGTGAATGTATTTGTCAATGTCACTATAAAAATAAATGGTAAAATGCTTAAAATGGTAAGGCAAGGAAATGGCATGTCTTTGGGGAACTGGCATAAGCTTGTGTTAAGATCAGTTTGGGCTACCAACCTAAGACTCCATAGCCACTTTAAGCAGCTCTCTACATGGTTAAAAAATGTTTTAGGATGTTCCCATGCTTGCACTGGGATGCTGCAGCATGAATGAATATTTCAAGGTACCTCTCTAAAGGTAGAGGAGAGTCAAGTTTGTCCTCAGTTTTTTTGTGTATTTATTTCACTTGAGTGAAATAAGGGACAAATTCAGGGATGAATTTATCCATGGAGCATATGTTAAAATATCTGAATCTAATACATTCTAGAGCCATAGAAAAACTTTGTGGGTTTTTTATAATTTATTTTGGTTTGGGTTCTCATAAGTTCATATTCCCTCTGTGCGCCAGACAGTGAATTTTAGTCAATTGTTTTGACACTGAGGGTTTGTACAACATTGGGGAAAATACAAATGCACCCACAGGCTTTGAAAAGCCTCCCAAACTGTCAGGAAACCTAGTTTTGACTCTGTAAGTAATCCTCTAATTAAGCACATTTTTGACATTGTTGCTCAGCTCTAGCTAAAAACAGCAGGTGACTTGTATATTAAAGAGATCAAAAATAAATTTGTTGCATTATCAGAAGCAACACTGAGGGATTTGTGGTATGTCACAAAAGCCTGTAATGTGCAAGATCACACTCCAGTTTTAACATCTGTTTTTTAAATATACTGGACATCATTATGTTCCAGAATATACAGCACAAATAGAAAGCCTTGCTGTTGGGGTTTTTTATGAAGTAGAGCATATTTTGTGTTAGAATACATTTTGCTGATCTTTTTCCAATTTCATCCTGTTCTGTGGATCCTTGGTTGTTGACAGATTTCTCTAAGGAACTGTGCTAGTCTTGGAGAGTTGCTTCAAAAATACACAAAGAAAATACAAAAGTTTAGTAGACACAATTCTTTCCATTTGAAGCACAAGTTGACTTCAATAAACTTCTTGTCTACACACATTCATTCTTCATCTTGTATTTTTTTTTTTTTTTGTCCTGTCTTTCTAGTTGAATGGAGATTCTCAAGCTAAGGTGCAGAGGATCCTGCGACTGATTTCTGGTGGTGGTCTGTCCATTACAGGATCACACATCCTATGTGGAGACTTTCTTTTTAGTGGTCACACTGTAGTGCTAACACTCACCTACCTATTTATCAAGGAATGTAAGTTATGGTATTCAGTAATTAATGTGTTTTGAAGCTTATTGCAAGAAGAATTCCTAAGCACACATCACATTAATACATTGATACACTTTTTTTATCGTTCCCCCCAAAAATAGCAGAACTTCACACAATTTAGAAAAATTCATCCCAGGGCTGTCTCTAGGATGGTTCTCCTATGAAGTATAGTAATATGCACATTACATGTATGGATATACTTTTTCTTAATGCAGGGTTTGGTGCTTTAGAGTTTGAGCACAGACTCTATTTTGGGAACTGGAAATGTGGGAGTGGGATAACAATGTGCTTTGAATCAAAAGAAAAATCACTGAGCACATAAGTATTTGTTTAATTTTAATTCTGCACCTTCTAATTACTGACCCTTTTGAAGAAGGAAGGAAAAATATCACTTCCTTTTGAACATTGTGGGAGCCGTGCTTGTTTATACCAATACTGAGTTTAATGCTGAGTTTCTCTAGAGCAAAAGTGCTCAGCCCCCAGCCCATGGGCCAGATCCAACCTGTGGAGCCATGCCATTCAGCCCACAGAGGCTCTCATGGGTCCAAAAGATTGTGGATAGGGAAGTGGTGGAAGCAATTACTTCTCCCTTGCTGCCAAATTTCCAATCCTGTAGGGAGCCGTGTGGGCTAGATGTCACCTGGGGGCCAATCCAGGCACACAGGCCAGCTGGAGGCAGCATGGGGCCCTGTGTTTGACCACACAAGCCCCAGTGGCACCAAAAGGTTAAGCAACACTAGTCTGGAATATAAGAACATAAGAAGTGCCCTACTGGGTGAAACCAATAGTTCATCTAGCCTAGTATCCTGTCTCTGACAGCGGCAGAAATGGATGCTAGAGGGAAAGCATTGAACCAGAATAGATCTAGGGTCATCTATTCCCTATCCATTATCTTTCTTGGTATGCGCCATTATTCATTTCCTCTGGCACCTCTAAACCTCCCCAGCCAATCCATTTAACAGTTACTAATAGATCTATCATCCATGAATTTGTCCAGTCCCTTTTTGAACCTGGGTATGCTACCTGCGTCCATCCCTCCTGTGGCAATGAATTCCATAAGTTAACTATGCATTGCATAAAAAAAGACTTTGTCTTGTTAGTTTTAAACCAGTTTCCTACTAATTTTTGCCAGGTGCATTACCCTTGTACTTGTTGATTTTGAAGTTCATCTGCCATTTTTTTTGACTGCTCACTTAGCTTGGTGAGATCTTTCTGCAGCTCCTCTCCATCAGCTTGGGACTTGACTCTACAGAATAATTTGGTATCATTTGCAAACTTAGAGACTTCATTGTACACCCCCGTTTCCAGATCACTGATGAAAACCTTGAACAAAGTTGGGGCCCGGAATAAATCCCTGCAGAACCCTCCAAAGGGTGCCTCATAATCAGTCAAACAATGAAGCTAGGTTATGTGAAATTTTGCATGCAGCACTTGTATATTGACAGAGGTTTGCCCCTCTTTCCTCTCCCCCTCCTTTCCCTCTCCCTTCCCCAACAACTAGAAACTGGTATGTGGTGTGGTGACTGCTAAGCCTAAATTTCACAGTGCTGAAAACTTTCCGGCAGTGATTCACGTGTAATTAAAACATCAGAATTGGTAGAACAGATGGCATATAGCCTAATGTTCCATGAGTAGGTGGCAACAGGATTTACTGCTTTCTCTTAATAATATTGCATGCATGAATGTTATCACAGCCTAACAGTGGGCAGTTTAAAATTTTACCCTTTAATATGTGCCCCAGGCAAGATATAGTTAACTCTTTATTTCAAAAAATTTGGGGGTGAGAATGGGGGAGGAATAATATAGTTCAGATGGCTTTAAATAGGACAAAGGGTAGAAAGAACCAAAACAAGCAGACTGTACTATAACGAACCGTCCGAAGTTGCCTCTGAAGAATTGGCCATGTATCCCATAGGCATGCTGCTGCTGTGCAGTCAGTGTCTGTACATCAGTACTGTGCCTCATTTTCTCATTGCTGCTTCCTGTGTAATTGGACTCTAAATAACGTTCATCTTTTGGAAAAATCACACTGACAAGCATGGAGTTAGTGGTTGGCTTCTTTCTTTATTTCTATACACTCAAAATCATTTTAAACACAGACTTAGATTATTTATAAACATTCATCTCTCCCTCTGCTGGAACTTCTTAGGGCACCAGAGACCATGGGGAGGAAAATATTTGCTTTATGTCAGTAAGCTAATTTAGTTCTTAAGTGTCTATTCTTACTGAAATGCAAGTATTTCCACAAATATGAATAAAATACCTACACACCAGAAGGGTTCAAATTAAATAGCTGAATCATACCTGTATTATCATATAGATATGTAGATCAACCTTCCCCTTTTTTTTTTTGGTTGACAGATTCACCTCGTCATTTCTGGTGGTATCATTTAATCTGCTGGTTAATGAGTGCTGCTGGAATAATCTGTATCCTTGTTGCACATGAACACTACACTGTGGATGTCATCATTGCTTATTATATCACCACCCGGCTCTTCTGGTGGTACCACTCAATGGCCAATGAAAAGGTGAGTGCATAGGAAATATGTAAGCTATTGTCAACGTAATAATGGCCCTTTTCGCTCAGTTCCATAAAATAAGATCATATTGATCACCAAAAGATCACCAAATTTAGTTGATTAGAACTGAGACAAAAATAGACTTTTTCCTTTGAAAGTATAAGAAAATTGGACGTCAGGGAGACTTAAGCACATCTGTACAGTTACTTGCTTTCCTGAAAGCATGTAGAAATATTTGATAGATTGCAAGGCTGGAAGGGGCCTCAGAAGATCATTGGATCCAGCCCCCTGCACCAGGCAGGAAAGACAACCGGGGTCTGGTGACTGTCCAGTCTCCTCTCCAAGATTTCCAGGGTAGGCGATTGGACCACGAGGGAGCCTGTTCCACTGTCTGGACACCCTGTCTGTGAAGAAGGTTTTCCTAATGTTGAGCCTGAAACAGTCTTCCAGAAGTTTATGGCCGTTACTCCTGGCTATCCCCATAGGCGCCCTAGTGAACAGTTGTTCGCTGACCCCTTGATGTACTCCCCTGATGTAGCGGTAAGCCTTCTCTCTTTCAGGCTGAAGAGTCCCAGATCCCTTAGCCTTTCCTCATATAGCTTGCTGTGCAAGTCTCTGATAATATGGCTGGCCCTTCTCTGGACTCTCAAAGCTTAGTGTTTAAAAAAAATACTTTATTGCTGTTTTAGGTAACCCACACCATATTTTAGGTTTTAAACAGAAGCTAGTTATATTTTTAGTGAACTTTTAAATTAACTTAGCTTTTTTTTAAAAACTTCACGGAAGTGTAAGTAGACTTATACAGGTGTCAAAATTTTTCTCTCTAGCTCTAAATATACTACTTTGCAATTTGAGATGCAACATAAGATATGATAGAACCTCTTAGATCATTGAATACAGTACTCTGCTATGACAGTCATCCATGGAGTGAATAGATCGAAATCCCTCTAAAAACTTGCTAGGTGGGGTGATTTTTTTTTTTTTTTTTTGGATTTTTTTTTTTACTCGCATTTCTTGTTGGAGTTCTGATCCAGAACCAAAAGATTATCCCCTCTGTTGAATACTATGTGATGCATTATAAAGGGGAAAAGGCACATTGGATTGTGTTTCTTCCCAGGCTCAGGACACCTATTTTCAGAATTTTTATTCTCCTATTGTACTGTATTTGACACACTCCTCCTTATAAAATTCAATTGATCTATTTGGGTATATTGCTAAAACTTGTTATTTTGTCATCTTCTTTGTCTCTTCTTTTCCCTCATCCCCATCCCAATATAGAACTTGAAGGTGTCTTCCCAAACAAATTTTCTCTCTCGAGCATGGTGGTATCCAATATTTTATTTCTTTGAGAAGAATGTACAAGGTTCAGTTCCATGCTGCTTCTCCTGGCCAATATCTTGGCCTCCCAGCTGTTTCAAATCTTCATGCAAAAAATATTCTCGGGTTCAGAAGATGGGAGAAGACAATGAAAAATCCACTTGAAGAAAGGAAAGAAATCAACTGCTCTTCTTTTTACCAAAACATTAATGCTATAACCAAAGTTCTTTGAGGACTGTATTGTTACACAAGTGGACCAAATTTTTGTGCAGTTGATTGGAAAAACACCTTGTAGACAAAAATGTCACCCCTTGATATATTTTCTAGTCATCACATTGTACAGGCCTGTTCCACTCTTCAGTGCTGGTGTGCACCACTGTTAGGATTTTTACCTGAGAAAGAAAAGAAGAAGGACTTTGGTTTATTAATGAGATTAAGCGGTGCCAAAGAATACATCACGCTCTTCATTATTAATTATCACTCATCCACAAAAGCACCCAAACAAAATCTCTTCAGAGTTCTGGAGTTTAAGGGCAGAAGAATGCTAAAAATTTAAATGCACAATGTCTATATAGAAAAATATAAAGAATAACACAGTGGTGGGAAGTGGTTTATTGCATTGTTTTTGCAAATGAAGGTTAAACCTCCTGATAAAACAACTGAAGCTGGAAGTGAACCTTGCCATTTTTACATTATACTGGGTATGAATGTATTATGACCCTGAAATACTACCAACTCCTATGTATCCTATACTACTCTAAACCATATTTTTTACACTTTTTTATTAGTAATTTTATAAAAGTTAAAAAAAAAAAAAAAAAAAAAAAAAAAAAACGCTATTGTGCTACTTGATGACATTGTGAAATAGAAATAATAGCTGCTAACATCATCAGCTCTACAACCTTGGAGATATTTTATTTTTAAAATTATAACAAATAAGAAAATAATTTCAAAGTCTAAACCTTTAACGGTGAGATAATTTCAGTCTCTATGTATTATGTGTGTATATATAGCTATATAGCACATATACCTATATATACACGTACTTCTGTGTATTTACACACACATACATTAACCAATAGTATATAACTGAAAAGAAAGCTATTTATAATGTGTTTCAAGCAAAATTTACGCTGTTGGTTTTTTTTGTTTGTTTGTTTTTTATTCATTCACTTACTTGAGGACTGTAAAGTCAAGTCTCAAATAGGGAATGCTTAAAATAAAAATAAAATTAATTTTAGTTCATAGTTTCAGCGTGAAACACTTAGCATTGTGCTTGACAGCCTCATGTTATACATTGAGAATATTATTATTTATGCTTGGCACAAACCTCAGTCTCATAAACAAGTGTCCAGGCAAATACCCTAAAACAGTAGCATTTCTTTGACTATACCTAACATCTATTATTAAATGGTGCTGTCATATGACTGACTTGCTAATTCCTTTCTACCGGTGCTGCTTTGTCCAGCCACAGGGTCTACACAAGTATGTTGGTTAAGAAATGGGAAATCACTGCTTCCTTAGAAGCACGTGCAACGTGCAGATCAGCAGTTACTATGGTTCACATTGTTTTGTTGTATTTGATATTGTTCTTTAGGAAACCAAGTGGATAATTAGCACCACAGTGTTTAAGAGTTAATAATTTGTTCTGTATTCATTTCCTCAGTTATGCTAGTATTTTATTTCCAAACCTTCAGTAAAAGCTGACAGTGGAGGGAATATCCATATTAATAGTTGGTTTAACCTTTAACATAATTGAAATACAAACTCTTTTAAGAATGCCTTGAAAAGCTTTGAATGACAAGTGTGAACACTGAAAAAAGAAATTAAATAATGACAACCTCAGTTTTAAAACTTCTAGTTAAAAAGTTGCTATAAATAAAATGCAGTTTAGAGTACTTGGATCTGATCTCTTTTTCAGAGGGCCAATAACTATAAAAATATACACCAGAGAAGTGATTTTTACCTTGCATTTCAGATTATTTGATAATGCACAAAAGTGTAATACTTTTTTCCTTACAGGGCATCCTGATAAAATATAGTTAAATAAGTAACACTAACCTTGTTCTCTTTTTAACTGTTTTGTCATATTTCACTAGAAATATTATGCACCATATTTGGGACTCTTATGTTATGCAGATAGACACATTAATCTCAGAGTTTTTTGTTTCTGGCGGAACTCTTGCCTCAAGTAGATAACTCTTACACTGTGAAAGCAGTATTTCTTCAGTTTTGAGCTGCATAGTCTTAGTGAACAGTATAGGGTTGGTCCTTTACAGAATGCAAAGTTCTGTGGTTTTTCTGTTTTCTTAAATCATTATGTCTTTGAAGTAACAGACTTCTGTGCTGTAGCTAAATCAGCCAAGTCATGTTTAATTATTTTTGTTTGTACCACTCCCATTGCCTTTGGAGGGAAATGTAATGTATTTCTTTAGTAGTAAATCTGCTTCAAGATGAGTGCTGTGAAAGATGTTATTGGAGCATTCTAAGCAGCATCAAAAACTATGGTTTTCATCTGGTAACCTGTTAAATTACTGAATAATAAATTGCCTACATAGATTACAAAAGAGTTCCAATGAGAGATTCCAATGAGATGCTTAGAAAGCTAATGACTTGCCTGCAACTTCTCTGTTCAAAAAACAGTATACTTCTGAATTTATTAAATAACCTGCCTTTTTCTGAAAACAAAATTAGGTAAATGATAGTATTTTCTAAGATTTCTTATACTTTTGACAATAGGATCTTTCCTTTTGACCTTGTAACTCAATAGAAAATAATAATCAGTTATTGAATAAAGTTTGCTTGAATTCCCTTTTTGTTTAAACAAAGACGACTTAACAAATGAGTCTGTAGCTCAATAAATTGAATAAATTCTAATTTTGGCACAATTCTCTTAATGCTTAAATTTTCTCCATTCTTAACTTGATAAAAGCGGAGGGCTTTTTAGCTTTTAAATAATGGTGACCTTTTCCCATTATCTCTCCATAACTTTAAGGTATGGGAAATTAACAAAAAAGGGAGTGGGGATTTACCTCATGTCACCTGTTTTGTCGTAACTTTTTTCATGTGCTTGTCCTTACCCTATGGTAAATGGAAGCTAAAACACAGTAGTTTTACTACTCAGTGAAATAGGGCTAAGTTTATTATAGTTTAGCACAGTGGTGCCTGGCTCAACCCTGTGGGCCAAATGAGTGATGCAGGGCTGGATCCATGTGGTCAGTCCGTGAGTGTGATCTGGTACATTTGGCCCAGCCCTGTGAGCTGGACCCAGCCATGGAGTTACTCTGCACCAGAGCCTGGCCCCACGGTCTGGATCTAGCCACCACCCGACCCGAGATGCCAGCGTAGTCTGGTGCGTTAAGGCGCTGTCATTCAGACTGCATGGCTCCCTCCTCGTCTGGAAATTTGGCAGCAGGGGAGTAGTAACAACATTAATTTCTGTGGCTTTCCAAAACTGCTGCAACCGTTCCCCCACTGCCAAATTTTTAGACCCATGGGAAGCCTGGATTCAGCGTGCGGGCCAGAGATTGAACCATACTAGTTTAGCACGTAAACAACTACAGCAGAAATAATTTGCACTAATTTGTTTGTTCCTGCCCTTTTGTTTCTTACTAATGTAAACTAAATATCTTTTATCCTTTTACTTTTTTAAAAAAAAAGTACATATCTCATTCAGGAACGTCTGGAGCTTAAATATGTTCAAGAGCAGTATACTGTGCCTTATACTTTCACATTACCCATTTCTGTATGTCCACTGTAAACACTCAAAGCACACATAGGCCACCGCTAGCTTATGTATATAAAAAGAAAAAGCGTAAGAATTTCCAGTAATTATGATAAATTACTGAATTACAAAGCAACTGCAATACAAACATTCAAGCTGGAAAGTAGGTGAATAAAAGGATAAAATCAAAAAGGAAGACACTAACTTGGAATTTGTTCAAATGCAACTTCACAGTTCTGGGCATTGCCTTTTATTCAGGTTGCCATTTCAAATATATATCATTCAATTAAAGTTTTCTGTGATTTTATTTGATTGCTGTCTATAGTAACACCTGTGTCCCTTGCCAGATACCCATAAGCAGAGCCGCTCAATTTAGGGTTTGTAAGACTTCTGAAGTCCATCCCTGGAACCTCAGTGTGTGTACCTGCCGTACCAGTAAAGTCATAGTTGTTGCTGAACGCTTGATTGGCAGGTCTGAAAACAGGTGTTTAAGCTACCTGCCTTACTGGAGTTACAAGTCTGACTTGAGCATTCATATTAAAGGAACATTGGCCATGGTGATTAGTTACTAAGTTTAATTTATCAGGATCATGGGGTAGATGGCATGTAACATATCTGTCAGATAAAGCAGCTAAGTCAAGTTTTGAACACAACTGTGGGTTTGTACCTCCATTATATGTGCTTAGTGCTCCCCTGTGGAGATAAAGGATATGTGTCTAGCATCACTCAACTCTCAAAAGGAATATTGACAAAAGGAACTATAAAGGGTTAGACTGACAGTTCAAGAAAAATAAAACCAAACCACATGTTTTCCTACTACTAGAACCAATTCCCCTACCCCCATACAGCCCCATTGCTTCTTAAGACAAACAAAAGAATGTGGATAACTTGACAATGGGTTTTTGTTCATTTTGACACTGCTGCATTACTGTCTTTTGGTAAGAATCCACAAATAAAAATGTTCTTGTGATATTGACAGCACACAAAGGAAAGTCCTTTTTTCATGAGATTTGCAATCATGATGTCGATGCTTTTTGACAAACCTTGAATTCAATCAGTCCTACAAACTTTCGAGTTTCACCAGTCACTAGCGATTTCATGGCCAGATAACTCGGCCCCCTTGTTAAATCGTCATAATGACAGCAAAGGTTTATTTCTGTTAGATTTGAAATATGCTCTAGGGCTTTAGGATCTGATTTCTCATCTACAACTCAAAGGGGCTGAATCAGGCCCATAAAGAGAGGCCTCAATATGCAGGTTTCGGTTCTGCCCCAGGCTCACTCATTGACTTGTGCTCATTTGGAGAAGTCACTTTTGTTCTCTGGGACTAATTTATCAGTTCCACTGAGCATCAAGTTGCAGTGGTCTTTCCCAGGAATAGACTCAATGGGCACATCAACACGTGCAATTAATACAAAGCAATACGCTAGTATCAGCTGGAGGTCATTGCTCCTGAGTGCCATGATTACATGTGCACTTTGGACTGCAGCATGTTGAGCTGGAGAGTCAACCTGCCAGACTGGAGCTGCTCCAACCTGGCTTAACATGCTGCAGAGAGGCTGACTGGGGCATGAGGGTACTCAAGTACAGGGCTTGCCGGCAGCTAGTCCCTGTACTGAAGCACCCTCATGCCCAAACCAGCCCCACATGTGCATTGCTTCAGAGTAAATAACTCTGCCATAGGATAGTACTTGTATTTACAAGTACTAACCTACCTTGGAGTTAATTAGTTTACTGGTGCCTAATAGAGCTGCAGTGTAGATATGGACACTTTACTACAGAGCTAATTAGCCAGCTGTGCAGTAATCGTCTCGTGTAGACACTCCCAGTGTATATGAAAATTTAATCTTTCCTCACATCAGTTTGATGGCTTGAAAAGACTGTTTCTCTGTCTCTCAGTACTATTGTGTAGTTGTACTATATACAAACTACTTCTTAAATCATTGAATAAGTGCTATAGAAGTGCAAAATACTTTCTTGAACTAGGAGTTTGACAACGTAGTTTAACTAAACTAATGAAATATGTTTTGAGTTCTATTTCTGCATTAAGCACAGCAAGAGACAGTCCACATTTCAACCGTAAGGTGTTCTTTTTGTAGTGGCTGAATCTGACAGTCATTCAAATCAATGTTGCAATTGAAGTACATGCAAGAATAATTTCCCAACATAATATATTAATGTAATTTCATTGTTATGCATTAGAGGCCAGTGATATGGATATTGCAAAGCTGTGTTGTGGAATTCTATTTGTAACAAACATTGGGAACCAAGTCAAAGTTATCCAGTTGAGTATCTCATGCAAACATATACTTAAACTAGCATGTATAGCCTGTGAGCTTTACTTTACTTAGCAATATACTGTATATTAGAATTAAATCTAGGAAGGAAGAGGGAAACTTGAAGCTAGTATATGAAGATTCAAGAAGCCATAAACAAACTATATTTGCCAAATTGGACGGTAAAACTATTACATAGGAACATTTATTTAATGCTTCAGGATATGGAGATGCATTGCAGAATATGTATTAATGGTTAAAAATTAGCCAGTTAAATTGTCTTCGAAATATATTCTTTCAATGCAAGTGCCTTATTTTATAGTCCAGTTTTATGTGTCTTCCTGTACATTGTGAAATATGTTGATTTCCTTTGGTTACTTCCACTATAAGAAAATGTGTATCAGGTATATGTTACTCTAAGGATGTGTTATTAGGATATGTTTGCAGATCTTAATCAAAATTCTCTCTGTCAGACACTTGCTATAACTTTCAAATTGTCATTAAAAGTATCACACAACCTGTACTAATGCATATAAGGGTGCATTAGCACTTCTGCTAGTAAGCTCCTGTTTCCATGGATTTAATTATTTGATTGTGAAATATCACACCATGCTGAAATGTAGCACATGAGTTTTGGGCCAAGGTCAAATATTTTGACAAATGTTGGCAAAAAGTTCTGCTTTAAAATTAGTTCGTATTACAATAGATGGGTATTAGTCTTTTCTAACGAATTCCTCAAACTGCATTACTTTTTAAGGTGGAATGTTGAAGCTAATAGTTTCTAATAGTAGTTTTGTTTAGTGCCTTTGAGTGTTTGTTTTTCTTTGGGGTGGAGGCTGGTGATGAAGAATCACTATGTTTAATTTGCTTTCAGTGGGAGCATTTTTAATCTAAATGAATAATATAAAGGCTTTTAATGAAATATGTTTTCTGTGGACGTGTTTTCTGTGATGCTGTGCTTTGGGCTAGCATGTGACCTATAGCCGCAACCCACACAATGAAGAGCATGCAAAATGGCCACTGCAACAAGAACACCCAGGAGGAATTATGGTTGACTCACATTGACTTCCTGCATGCCATAGCCATAATATCCTAACAAAGAATGTAGCATGCACCACCACACTTGTCCTGTTTCCTCACTACTTTTTGGGATGATCAGGGCTGGCCATAAAAAAGGAATGTGCTCCCAGTTACTCTCTCTGGTCTTTGTGCTATGCAATGGAAGCTTGCAGAGCTCTCCCCACCTTTTTGAATTTACTAGACCTAATTTGATTTCCTTTGGGTAAATCAAATTTCAAAGCTAGATAAAGCTCACTACCATTTTGATAAAAACTCCTGTTTCTAAAGTGCCTAAGAAGCAATTTAATCTAACACAAACTAGAAATTTTGTCTAGTTTCTAAGCCATTTATGCCCTGTATTTTGTATTTGTCCAGTGAATACTTAAGAGCTGTGAGAGGCTAGGGTTAATTGCAGGAGAATAATCTATATTGCTAGTTGTCAAAATTAGTCCTTATACTAGACTACTCTCTTTCAGTGTATCTTACAAAATATGTATTTAGCAGATGTTGTTTTTTATTAACTACCTTTTTTTAACATTAAAAACAGAATTAGGTTCTAGCAAAACACAAGTAATTTTAAAGTGAAGTTACATTTTTGGAAGAAAACTAAGAATTTTCCGAAGAGCTGAGTTCAGAGGGTTGGGTTTTTTTCTTGCAAGACTTGTTGTCTGACGCTTCTGATTCGCGTCTACTCATGCGCTTGTGCACCTATTTGAAGTCAATGGAACTGTTTACTTGCTTCAGATTAGACTTGTTTGAGCATCTTGCTGAATTGTAGTAAAAATATAAAGTGCAGCAAGATGCCTTCCCCATGATTTTAGGTGCTTCATGTCACCAGCTCAGATGAAATACAGAGATTCCCTCCCAGATTCCAATGCAAAAAAAATCTTTATTTTGCATACTTTTACATTGTTTTTTCCTTTATGTTTTATAGCGGTAGACATCTTTGCATTGTTAAAAGCAATAATCTCTTCCAAGAGATAAGAGCAGTAATGTCTTCCAAGTTATGCTGCTTTGAAAGGGAATTTGCTGTGTACAGAATAGTTTTTCAAACTCTCCTCTTTCTTTCTGTCTTCCTCTAGTCTAGTCAGTCCCATGAAGAGGAATTCCTGCATAATCTCCTGTAGGACATGATCCTACATAGCCAACTTTCTTTTGCATACAATCCCTCTGTCCCATTCGGCTTATATCTGTTATCTTTTTACACTGATTCAGAATCGTATGATTTATTTTTTAAAAAACAAAAAAAACCCATGAGCTGAAGTTTAGTCTTGAACTTCCTCAAATACATTGTCAAAGTGTGCTCTAGTAATGTTCTTTCACAATTTGCAGCTAAATTGGAATTTTGAGTGCAAAATCTAGCACTCAAGGCTATTACTTAATGTGCCTCAAAACAGTTTGCACATAGAAGTCATCCATAAATGTTTAATTACTGACAAATACAATAGTGACAAAAATGTGAGGGTTGTAAGAGAGCAGGCACTACCATATTCTGGCTGTCATATGAAATTGGGCACAGAGAAGACTGTGGGGAGAGAGAATTTACAGTGTCAGGTTTAGGAAGTTTCCCCATGACTTTTGTGGGAATACTTTTAGGTCTCCATAATACTAATTATGGGTATGTACAGATATTTGGGGAGGTTAGATCAAGTTAATGGCCACCCAATCTAAGGTAAGTCAGGATGGAGGGGGACTAGTGGGAGGGCTTAGGATCAGGGGAGGCAAGCAGGCTCCAGTGGGGGAATCAGGGAGGCAACTGAGTTCCACAGGAAGGGGAGGGTTGGGAGGCTCATGCAGTTTGCCGGGGGTGTGGCAATTGCGGGGGGTGGGGGGGGCGCAAGAGGCAGGGGCTAGCAGTGTCCTTGAGGGGACTTTGGAGGAAGGGGGAGGATTTTTTTTTCCCCCTCCCCCAGATCAGGAGCTATTTTTAGGCCCCCAAACCCTCTCTGACTCCTAGATGAACAACCCCTTGTCGAACCAACCCCCGCATGCTGTCTGCTTCTCCTCCCATCCCAACTTACTTCCTTGACTCCCAATATCAGCAGATATTGGTAAAACCAGCACTGGGAAGAGCTTACAGGATTGGGTGTTTGGCAGACTTGCAGAGGACTGACTGATCTTGGGGGAGGAGGGTTGTTGTTTGGGGGTGGGACAAAGGGTTTGAAGGACTAAAAATAGCCCAGTGCCATGGGGGTGGGGAAGGGTAGGGGAAGTGCAGTCCCAAGGCAGGGGCCAGTAGTTGGTCTTTCCCAGCCCCAAACATGGAAACTGTACAGAAGGCAATCAAATCTGTTTTGCCAGATCCGATCTAAGTTAGACTATCTCAGAGGTACACTTAACTTAGATCAGGTCAGCTGTTTTAAAACTGATCCAGCCTTTCTAGATTTCTGTACAATTCTCAGTTACAGTACACCCAACCAGGGATCTAAGTATAAGGTCTGCACCTGGGTACACTATGTTAGATTGGGTGGCCATTTTTAAAGCAATCTAACCTCTCCAAACATCTATATGTACCCTCTAGGAAGACTTTTGGGGCTGTTTATAGTGAACTTCAAAACATTCAAATATTAAAAAAAAAAAATCTACCTAGTTATAGGATTAATTCCATATTTGGACACCCTGCATGCCTATATACAGGCTCCAATGTGTTCTAATTAGACGGCTCCAGCATGCTTCACCATCATGTGTATTCAGCATCCTGCATTTCAAAATGATGGTGGGGGCACTTTAACTAAAGCTCATTGGACGAGGTTAAGTTAAAGCACCCCCGCAGCCATTCTAAAACGTGGGACACTGAATGCACATGATGCTGTGGCATTTTAAGTAGAGCAGTTGTCCAGGAGCTGCTATAATTAAAATGCCCTTTCCCACAACTCCAGAGCATGTGTATAGACACTCTGAGATTGCAAAGTAGGTGTTGTTTCATGATAAAATGAATGAACACAGCGTAGAATTTGCAACCGTATTGCATAGTTGCTATAAAGAAAACTACAAACAATTTTGGAAAACTGTAAAAACATCAACTATTTGAGTAACCCGTTAAAGCCTCATACAAACACGGTAATCTGTCTATAGAATTTGCATTTAGTACTGTAGAAAATAATCAAAGGTACCCTTTCAGGCTTGCTTTTATCAGTGTGTAGATATTTGAATGTGTATTTTTAATTGTAATTAACAAACTGATGAAAAAATATGGGTGAACTGTAGGAGGGGAAAGAAGGACAATATTACTTTAGAAATTGTACTTTTGTGTTGGCTAGTACACACACATTTTACAAGAGAAGTAGTCTGGGGTCTTTTGGATGAATGGAAACAAGTTGATCAGTAGCAGTTGTTTAAGCTCACCTACCACCTGTCTCATGCTGTTTGTGTTGGAATTATTACAAATATCTGTAGGAGACATACACAAGAATGTAGGACAGAATGCATAATAGAAATCCAAACAGCAACTGATTGAGCCACATTAGCCATCCAAAACCTATTTTTTCTTTTACCTCTTTTCTTAAATTCACGTGTTTTCCATTTAGCATGCAGTAGTTATTTTTCTTTTGTTTAGCAAATAAAAGTTCATTGTTAACAGGAGTACTTCATAGCATTTGTATATGATGGTGTCTAACATTATGGAAACAAAACTAACTATATTACTAAGGCAGACCACTATTTTCATGTATGATTAATGGTTGCAGACATCTGGCTTTTTATGTTATTATTGAGTTGGTTCTTATTATTACTGTTGTCACTTACAGGAGATGTTATGTATTTACCAATGGCAATGGATTTATTTTGATAACTTTATAACATTTTGAAAGAACATGTAACAAAAAACAGCATGTTTCTCCAAATAAATTGTCTATAAAAGTAAAAATCCAAGTGGTTGCCAGCAATTTAAAATGAACTTTACTATTCACATAAAAAAAAACAAAGTTTATGTTTTGAAAAGCCTACAATCTAGTTCAATAGGTCAACAGTGCCAAAAGTGATGATAACAACATTCACTAAGTTTTTATCAATGGAAGTCCTTCATATTCATTACAGTTTTAAAACTCAGGAAGACAGCGATAAAGTCATTAATCAGAGTTTAATGTTAAATTCCAAATAAGTTAGTAATGAACATTCAGTTCTTATTAACTGTAATATAATTTACAAAAAATTTCAAGTTGAATTTTGTAACCCTTCTCACTTGCATTTGTACGTATGGAACAATTAAATAGTTTGTTTTTAAAACTCATTAGGTATGCACTTATTTTTTAAAGTATTTGTTCATAGAGCTACTAATATACTATAATCAGACAAAACCAGTGGGATAAGCTAAATTGTGCATGGGATATGCATCTGAAAGGGTTTGTAGTTGGTAGTGCAGCCATTATCTGCTAAATTATGCAATTATTTGGGTGTGGGAGAAGTAGTGCCCATAAACCAGCTGTATGCACAACAGGTGGATGAGACTTGTGGGTCAACAAAAAAAACCACTCCCACAAAATCCAGGCCACTGACAAAATATGTCAGTTCTGCCTCATTAGACACACCTTTGCCTTTTCTATTAGTCTGATCTGCCAATGAATAATGGCAGCTGGGAGGTAGAAAGGGAAAGCCAGGCATTGCTCATTGGGATATAGTTCAGCTGAAAAATAACTATGAAATATACTTCCCTGGTGACATTAGATGAAAATTAGGGGCTAATTAAAAAGAAGGAAAATAAATGAGAGAGAAATTATAGGATTCCAGAAAAGCTCTCTGCTGCTTTCTGCATCCCTAATTATGTCATCTCAATTGGGCATGTAGGCAGTGGACTGCAAATGGAAGTAGAACAGTTGTGAGTGAGGGCAAGGGGGGGGTAGGTAGTACATAGGAATCTTTTTATAGACCAAAAAGGTCTTCTCTTGCAACACTAGTGAGACTAACTGGAAACTTAGCAACAGAAATTTGAATGCCAGAAAAGTGAGTTGTTTAAAAAAAATTAAAAGAGCAACAAAAATAAATTGGAGGAAATTACATGTAAATAAATTATTAAAAAGCACTCAAGCTTCACTATCTGACAGGGATGTGTAAAACACTCGAACCAGTTTCATAATGTAGAAATTGTCTGTCTTTACATCATTATAATTTAATTTTAGAAGTTTTAAAATTTAACTCTTCTCTAATGTTCTGATGTGGGAGGAAAACTTTTAACATTTCCATTTTTTTTTAATTTGAGTGTTGCCCAAATTCAAAATGTTCTATATTTCTGTGTTGAAAAAAGTTTAACAGAACTGTCTGCTGAAATTATAGTGGAAGACTAATTTTCATATTTTATTTACACTGAGGAGAAAAAACTATGAACATAATCTTTTTACGCTACTTCTTAAGTAGGATGTGAAAGAACTGACAGGAGAAACCATTTCTATTTTTAAATACTTTGGAGGTACTGTTGGAAAGCAAATAACCAGCTAGAGACAATCCTACTGTGCTGTGGGAAAGTACTAGATGACCTCTCTTTAGGTATCTGCTTACCAAAGAAATTAGAAATGGACAAGTTAAATTTAAAATGGGAGTGGAGGAGGAAAATAATAGAACTTACAAACACTCAGATAACATTTTTTCCCCTGAAAGATCATGAACATTCTTCACAAGTCTGTCCAGTCGTTCTTAATCTTTGACCCTTCTCATTTAGATACAAAATGTACTGTCATTTCCCTTTATCACTCTGAAAAAATGCTTCTAATTTAGCTCTGTCTCTAGCCATATTTCCTTCATATTTTTCCACTCTGTCTGGATTCTTTCAAATGTTACTTCACTATGCACTTTCTGCTGACTATTCTAATTAAATTACTAAGAGGCTCAGCCAAATTCAACTGGAAAATGTTGTATGATGTGGTTCATTGCCAATGTAATGTGCCCTTGTGAACTTGGGGAGGCGGGGGCGTTAATACTTCTGTGCATGTCAGCATCTGTAAAATATTCACTCCCGCCCCATTGGGAAGATTAGAGAGATTGCCTCTAATAGTTTTAATAATTGCTTGAAGAAAATTTGCCCTTCACCATTTAATATTTTACATATTCTCCATTCAATTGAGGGCCTCCTCTATAATTACAGTAAATTGATTTTAAATACATCTGAGTTTTTATGGGGAAAGTATTGCATATTTAAAGATTCTTATATTTAAAAGCAAAGTATTTTAGTTGCTCAGCATTCTTCTCCCCTTTGAATGCTTTTCCAACATTGGAGCAATTTTAGTAGTGAATTAAGGCTGCAGTTGTAGTTCATAAGCAACAATATTGCTTAGTGAATGCTATTGATGTTTTGTCTTAAAGAGAAGAATGGCTACTAATTTGCTAGCAATCAGTTCTGTGCTAGGTTGTTCAGTAATATACCTTCTACCAAGTGGCCAAAGTTAGGTAAAAGGTGACTTTCCTGCAAGGCTGAAGCTTAAGACTCGTCTTTGGGAAAGGCATTATCATAAGATCAAAGGTCCATCCAGTTGGTAGAGTTAAGACCCATCAGGTCCTGTAGCCAATGGCACATATGGGAATGACCCAGGTAGCATCATGCTTTACTGTATCTTATTTCATGGCTAGAAAGATTCCCAGTTGCAACTGGGTTTGTTGAGAACAACCTTCAACACAAGCCCAGAGAAAGACTTGAACTTTTGCCTTTGGATCCATAAGCACCTAGAGATCCATAGGCACCTAACCAGTTCACTACCATAACACTTCTTATAACCACAAGGTTCCTGGAAGTCCAACCTTAGAATCCAGGCTGTTCTGAGCAGGACCAGTCTTTCCTTACAGTATTAAGAAAAGCGTCCAGTGCATTGCTGGATCTCTTGTAGATAAACAGTATAACTAAGGGCACAGACAGACATTATGCTTAGACCTACCTAAGTGAACATAGATCAATCTAAACTCGTAACTGTACAGAAGCTCAGTGCACATAAACTGATCTAAAAATGGCACAAGTGCTCTAAAGTAGACCATATTTGCAGTATACCTGATTGAGATCCATTCAGATTAGACTGATATATCAAACTTGTGCACTGTTCCCCTACTCATTCAAATTAGATTGCTGTCTTCCAGTATCCCAGCCTGCTTTTCAGTCCCTCACAGGGAGTCACGTTGGCACTCAGCCTGTGCTCAGCTGCTCCAGCTGAGTGCCCAGTAGGCCCCACTCCTCACGCCTGGGCTGTCCCAGCATCAAGCAGGCACAGCCCCTTTTCCTTGTCCCTCTTTTAGGCTCCAACTTTCAGCCATCTGGCAGCCACATGCAGGTGTGGGGGGAAAGTGAGGCATCTGAGCCCCCATCACAAAGAACCCCTGTTCTTGGGCACAGCCCTATGGAGCCCAACTCTGGCACCCTCACACCCAGCTGGAGACCCCCATGCTCAGGTACAGCCCCACAGACCCCAACCCTGGCACCTGTACACCACATCTCAGAGGCCTGACCCATCTTGCAACTTGGCTGCCAGCAGACACCCCCTCTCCCCCTGAGCAAGAGTTGGTGTGGGCAGATCACCTCTGGTGGATGGAGTTGCAGCGGGGAGAACACTGGAACTTGGCCTACATGATGGTGACCCTAAGACTTCCATTGCTCGGCCACTGCCAACAGGTACTTGGGTCATGGGCACCTGGGGTGCTGCAAAGATTTTTTTGGCTCCCAGCTGCAGGGTCCCAGAGTACTAGGGCTGGTGGAGGGAAGGGGGTCTAAGCATTCAAGCTAGGGCAAATACATGGGCACCCCTG